AAGTAGTGAATTCTCAAATTGTTATGCAATTGCCACTTATAATTGGATACAAGATTACATAAAAATTCGTATGTAAAATAGGCAATACCGTCATTTCTTCCTGAAACATACTGTATATTAGTCGAAGAAACATTGTACCTCACACTATAATAAATAATCGTATACGTGTTCGTTTAAAAAGTACAGAAAATTGTGCATTCTGCCATTTCTGAAAATATTTACTATTTCTCCTGAAACGCCCTGTACAATAACTTAGAAAGTGTTCAATTATATCCATACATTGACATCAATTGATAATCAGATACGTGCTCGCATATTTTTACACAAAATAGTCTGTATTCCCATTTCCTAAAGTATATACTATTCTTCCTGAAACACCCTGTATAATATTCATGAGACTGTAAAACTATGCCTATGGCTTTACTGATAACCGTACATCTGTTTGTCTATAAATTTCTACACAAACTAGTCCATTATATCACTTCTGAAAACATTTGCTTGTTTTGAAACACCCTATATAATATCCAAGAACGTGCAGAACTATGCCTATAGCTTCACTGATAACCGTACACCTGTTCGCCTGTAAATTTCTACACAAACTAGTTCATTATATCACTTCCCAATACATTGACTTCTTTTGAAACGCCCTGCATAATATTCAAGAACATGTAGAACTATAACTGTAGCTTCACCGATAACTATACACCTGCTTGCCTATAAATTTTTACACAAACTAGTCTATTATATCCCTTCCCAAAACATTTACTCCTTGTAAAACACCCTGTATAATATTCAAGAAGGTGCAGTACTATGACTCTACCTACACTAATAACTTGTTTGCCTATAAATTTTTACATAACTAGTCCATTATATTCCTTCCCAAAACATTTACTCCTTCTGAAGCACCCTGTATACCCCAAGAAAGCAAAAAACTAATCCTGTATTCACACATGTGGCAAGTTTGATCGATCTCCCAATAAACGAACATTTCTCTCCGAGGAACAGTTTCCCGAAACAATCAGATCGAAGGGGTCACGAAGGAAAAAGGCCCACTTTTGCCCGTGAAGGTTCAGGGATTACGGCATCGAGTTAACGAGACCGTGGTCTTCTAATGGCCCGGGGCTACTTATTTCGCATATCAGGAGCCAGCCAGGCCGAGTAACGTTTCTATAGAGAGGGTCGCAAGGCTAGCCAACACCTCAAGGCATAAACGGCCGCATATAAAAACGTGAAATATCATGGGCATTTTCTTATCACGGGCTTGGCCATACGTAAAAACGAATAAAACTGTGGTAAGTTCCGTCGGGGGATCAGCCGGAAGTTGCTTCAGGCCAGTTAGCCGAATCTGACGCTTCATTTTTCGTGAATAAATTTAGACGCAGGCAACCTGGAGAAACTATGTATTTCCGAACTTTGGATACTGTTGGTTTTATACGGAGCTGATAATTTTTAAACATAGTTGTACAGTAGTTGTACGATATGTTTAATTATTTGGGAGAAGTACTGGGTTGAAATCTGTAGGTGGCGTTAGCGGCGTGGCGCGAAATTTGAATGATGTAGTGGGTGCATTAGGGTGAATGGCTCTTTTAGCGATTATGTGAGAATATAATTTTAGAGTTGGCTTTTCTTAATATCTACAAATTTTTTGGTAAGATTTGGTAACAATTGGGTTGGAGTTATGTAACTGTGAGAGTACTATTTTAACCTAACCTAACTTGACATGTTTCATAATACAATCAAGCTTGAGTACATGAATATGTGGATCTTAATCTGAACCAACTGAAGCTAGTATGTTTTACAATTTTAGATCTTTTTATTGACAACTTCATAATGAGCAACGAGCGATAATAAAGTTATAAAAATAAAATAATTATGGAAGACTCACTCAGGACGACAACTTTGACAAAATATGTCAAGGACAAGGTTATTAGGTCTTCCATAATCAATATTCATCAAAAGAATTTAAACAAGAACTGAGAAAGCGACTTATGTCTTTGAGTTTCGCTAAAATTTTGGGTTGTGCCTCGATGTTCAATGGAGTATCATTCACATGTCTCCATCGGCAAAATGATGCCGGGCAAATCGAGCGGATTAAATGCAACTCGTCAACAAGAACTACGTCGCATGCCGGATAAATCGTGATTGCGTAATATCGCGCGAGTAGAATTGCGTAAAAGCAAATATGCAATAGACTACCTGAACGTCCTGTATTGTACGATTGTCTCCGTTCTTCCTCGCCGCGTTTCGCAGGAAATGCCTGCCTTGCATTTCCCGGCATTGTAACCACCCCGTTGGGCTCCACCGTATTGCCAGCCTCACAGTTTGAATTGCATTACCTATTATTGCTTATTGTTCGCCGGTAGCTTCGTGCACTATGCTGCCTATTCCTGTTGCACGGTTGCTCCCTCTTTCTGATCAACCCTTGGTCTCACTCTTTCTGATCAGACTTCGGTGCTGCTTCTTCTTTTCTTTGTCGAGGAAAGTTCGTGTAACTTTCGGTCGGGAAACATGTAATATGATGTATAGTTGTAGGTAAATGTCTAGTGGGTATTGGAAAATTGCCAAAATTTGGGAGCTGTCAATTTGGAAATTGATTGTTGGAAAAATTGAAATGTGGGAAATTAAGAAATAAGAAAACGGCAAAACAGAAGAAATTGGAAAAACTGTATAAATTGGAAAAATTGTACAAATTAGAAAAATTGTGTAAACTAGAAAAATTGGAGGAATTGAAAAAATTGGGAAAATTGGAAGAATGGGAAAAACTGGATAATTTGTAAAAATTGGAAAAATTGGAAAAATTGGAAAAATTGGAAATATTAGAATAATTGAAATAATTAAAATTGGAAAATTTTTGATTAGTTAATTCTGCAATTGCAAAATTGAAAGATTACAAAGTTTGAGGTCTCTTAATTTGCAAAATTCGGGATGTCTTATTTTCAAAATTAGAAAATTGTTAATTTGAAAATTAAAAGTTGGAAAATTTGTTAACTTGAAAATTGTAAAATTTGGTATGCTTTAATTTGAAAAATAGAAAATTAGAAAATTTGGCAATGTCAATTTAAAAATTAGAAAGTTGGAAAATTTGTTAATTTGAAAATTGGAAAATTCAGGATCTCTTAATTAGAAAATTGGAAATTTGTAAAATTTTGGATTTCTTAATTAGAATATTGGAAAATAGGAAAATGGGAAAATGGAAAAATTGAAAAATTGAAAAATGGGAAATTGGGAATGTCTTAATTAGAAAATTGGTATATTAGAAAATAGGAAAATGGGGAAATGGGGAAATGGGAAAATTGAGAAATGGGAAAATTGGGAAATGGGAAAATGGAAAATTGGGGATCTCTTAATTAGAATGTTAGTAAATTAGAAAATGGGGAAATGGGGAAAACGAAAAATGGAAAAATAGGAAAATTTTAGATTTGTTAATTAAAATATTTAAAAAATCGAGAAATTGAGGATTCCCTCATTCCAACAACAAAAAATTGAAAAATGTAACAAATTTAAAAATTTAAAAATTTGAGGATTTCGGGGATTACCTACTGAATTAAAAAATTCCAAAATAAGCTTGTTTACATAGTGAAACGTCGTTTGTACATCCATAAATCAGACCAAAATTATCAAAATCAATAATTCAACTATAAAATGTACTTGTCACATCTGACAAGGCTACCCAAGTAAAACGTTCATTAATCCATAATTCAGAAAGTAAATAACCCGTGAACACGCTTCGAACTCAAGAAGTTTCATAGTTAGAACTAACTGGTTTCTCTTTGTCTACGTTTCAAGCCCCTGTTAGAGTCTGTCTCAATTCCACGCAAAGGCAACGCATTGTCGCGTTGAAATTGTGCGTAACTATGACAATAGTTTGGCAGGATAATGAAAACTCGGGCAAGACTCGGTAAGAAGGGGTGAAGAAAGGGATGAAAACGTGGAGCGGCTTCGGGTGTTTCAAATGAAGAAGGAAGAGCTGGGGTAGGTTCGGCTAATCGTGACAAATACTGATCCGGGATTGCCGAATTATAAACTAATGTCTTCAGGAAACTTTGCCCTCGGTTTCTCCCCTTCTTACCAATTACAACTCCACCGATTGCTTGGCGCACGATCGAACGTTTTGTTACTTCTTCGAACTTATTAATAAGATTTTTATTAAATCATGTATTTATCCTAATTTATTTCTCAGGTGAAGATACATTTATTTATCATATTTTTGATGCGTGTGTGTGGTAAGTATTATAGTGGCTGTCCTCAGTTTTAGTTATTACAGTGATTTTTTAAATAGTTTCAAATAGTCTTTTAATAGTTTCATTTACTATAAGAAAAAATTGTATTACAAGAAAATTTATGTAAGCTGTCACCAAAGCAAAGGAAATACAAGATGTTAACATGTGTTATGTTACGTAGAGTAATCATGGTAATTAATAAATCATATCATTGGTACAGGTCCTTTAAACAATGCTGAAAATAGTGGACCTAATTCAATGGGACCGTAATTACGAGATATAGCCAAGTTTTCTTCATTTGCGTGTGGGACACGAAAGTAAAGGAAATATCAAAGTGTGGGCCGAGTTATCGGGTCTTCGTAGTATTATTATCGGGTGGTATCGGTCGTTCCCTCGAGACGAGATCTTGTGTAATGGCAAAACGTGGTTCCGACGTTCGTTACAATAAAGCCCGCCGCCCCTGAAGAGCAGGGAGAAACCTGTTTAGTTGGCTCGTACAAGGGCGGACCCGTGGTCGGGATTTTATTGGCAATATGCTATAATTTCCGACATTAGATGCCGCTGACGCTTTCTGGCTCTCATTATACCCGGCTGCGTCTCTATATGTGATCTTTTCGCGAAAACGTCCGAACCTTACCCCTCCCTGCTTTCTCTGTGGATTCTGATATATGAAATTATGACGAGGGACATCGAAATGGAACTATAAGTCCTACACGATCGTCTCGGCTTGTGTGTGGCGGTGATGGTATCACTGATATGCTATGATGACAATACTTCGTAATGGAAGATCAGATAAATGAAAGGAAATGCGAGAATACGTTATTCTTTGTATTATTGGCGACTTTAGTTACTTATGTTCGTAGGATGAGTAAAGTGATTCTGAATATCTTGTATGTTCACCGTGGAAAATAATTTTTATGTATTATTTGCGATTTTTGCTGCTTAGATTCGTAGGATAAATCGGGTGACTCTGAACAATTCGTATGTTCACTGTATAAAATAGTTTGTCTATAATATTTGCAATATTAGGTACTTAAGTTAGTATAAGATCAATTTGGAATTAGAATTAGAGTTAAAGTTAGAGTTAAAGTTACAGGTGAAATTAGACTTAAAGTTCGAGTTAAAATTAGAGTTAAAGTTAGAGGTGAAATTAGAATTAAAGTTAGAGTTAAAGATAGAGTTAAAATTACAGTTATAGTTTAAGTTAAAGTTAGACCTTAAATCACAGTTATAGTTTAGTTAAAGTTGAAGTTCAAGTTAGAATTATGGTTTCAATCAAAGTCAAAGTCAAAGTCAAAGTCAAAGTCAAAGTCAAAGTCAAAGTCAAAGTCAAAGTCAAAGTCAAAGTCAAAGTCAAAGTCAAAGTCAAAGTCAAAGTCAAAGTCAAAGTCAAAGTCAAAGTCAAAGTCAAAGTCAAAGTCAAAGTCAAAGTCAAAGTCAAAGTCAAAGTCAAAGTCAAAGTCAAAGTCAAAGTCAAAGTCAAAGTCAAAGTCAAAGTCAAAGTCAAAGTCAAAGTCAAAGTCAAAGTCAAAGTCAAAGTCAAAGTCAAAGTCAAAGTCAAAGTCAAAGTCAAAGTCAAAGTCAAAGTCAAAGTCAAAGTCAAAGTCAAAGTCAAAGTCAAAGTCAAAGTCAAAGTCAAAGTCAAAGTCAAAGTCAAAGTCAAAGTCAAAGTCAAAGTCAAAGTCAAAGTCAAAGTCAAAGTCAAAATCAAAGTTAGAGTTAGAATTTAAGTAATAATCAGAAAGCAGGACCACCAAAGATGACGAAATTTTGACGAAGCTCTGAATCGCGTGTAAAGAGATGTAAAGCGATACTGAAAGACCGTGCGTGATGAGGCGATATACGCGGAAGACTGCGGCGAACAAGAAAAAGGACTGTCGATACAAGGAGTCGATTGTACCTTGAAAAGCACCGACCATCTTTTCTCGAAGAGAAGTTTACCGAAGTACAGTGGCTGACTTATGCTTGCGATTATTGCATTGAGATTATACAGATTTTGTATATCTGTATGATGGTATTTTCGACTTTTGCTTTCATTCTGGATTGACTACGTTTAAGGAGCTGTTTTTGGATTTTCCGAATTTCTAAATTTTCAAATTTTCAAATTTCCAAATTTCCAAATTTCTGAATTTCTGAAGTTTTAAATTTTCAAATTTTTAAATTTTCAAATTTTCAAATTCTCAAATTCTCAAATTTCAAAATTTTCACATTCGAAAATTCTCATATGTCCAAATTCCTGAATTTCGAAATTCCTATATTCTCAAATAACCAATTCTCCAAATTTCAAAATCTTCAAATTTTCAAATTCTCAAATTTGCAATTTCCCAAACTCCCAAATTGTCAAATTTCAAAATTCCTAAAATAATCATATATTCGAATTCCCAAAATCCAAAATTCTCAAATTCCCAAACTTCAAAATACTCAAATGTTTATATTCCCTAATTCTTAAATTTCCATATATTCAAATTTTTAAATTGCAAAATTTCCCAAACTAACTTTCCTCGAACTCTTGATTCACCTTTCACATTTCATAAAAATACCCCCTGCAAATGCCCTAATATCCTAAAAATTGCTAATAATACATACAGAAAAATTGTTGTCACTCTCAAATGTTATAAAGAAAACCCACATTGAAACACATCAAACATCAAAGAAAAAAGATCACAATCTCTACATAATCGCAAACAATTAAAAGGAACCGAATATACATAAACCCAAGGTATGCACATAACCCTAAAATGGCTGTCAAGTACTTTAACATAATAGACACATCAGTTCCAATCTAAAAAGTTCAGGACAGTAGCTCGTAAATGTATCAAAGAAGAAAGAGGACATCCCAAAGAAAGAAGAGGAAGAAAGAGAAGAAAAGATCCTTTACGAACGATAAGCAACAGCACACTTTCATACCAGTCTATGAAAAATAATAGCCGTTACCTCGCCCCCTTATATCGGGCGTTAATGTTTCTGCGGCGGATTGATGTTCCACCTTTATGGGTTATTTATTTAATACTGACAAATTTCGCCTAGCACTCTCACCATTGGGATCCGTTCACTGCTGCCAGGCCGCTTCTTTTATGGCAGCTTTAATGGCGCTCAAGAACGAAACGACACCCGGTGTCCGTGATTCGAAGGCCTCCCTTCAAATACTGCCGTTCGAATTTTCTCCGACATCCTTCGTAAATATTTCTCTCCATAAATTACTTATATCGACTAATAATTGAACTGTTACTATGTAAAACTACTGATTTTCGAAATGGTCAGATTTCAACGTAAAATTTATTGCTACTATGATTTATGGTGCTTTTGAATCTTGTAATATAATGAATAAAATAAATTCAAATTTATCTAAGACGAAGTAAAGAGAAATTATTTATTTCAGATAAAAACGTAAAACAAATTATCTATCTGATATAAAGAGACAAGATGTATTATTTATCTAAGATGAAGAATTAAGATAAATTATCTCAGACAAGGAAATGATATGAATTATTTATTTCAGATCAAGAAGTAAGATTTATCTAAGATAAGATAAATAATTATCTAAAGATGAAAATGAAGATGAGATAAGATAAATAATTATCTAAAGATAAATATGAAGATGAGATAAGATAAATAATTATCTAAAGATGAAGATAAGATAAGATAAATAATTATCTAAAGATGAAGATTAAGATATGTAATTATTTATCTTATCTTATAAGAGACTATAAAATATAAGAATATAAGAAAAGAAGACTATATGTATAAGAAGATTATAAAAAGACTATAAACATGACATAATTTATGTATGATGACATAAATTACATAATTTACGGTACACACGTACGAAGCTTAGCAAAACTTATGTATAATAAATGAGATAAATTATTGAACTTACTGCGCAGTAAGGCACCCTTCAAAAATATCCTCAATATAAAATAATTACCCCCATTTGCAAATTTGACGAGTCCTACAAATTTTCAAAGAGAAAGAGTGTTAACATTTGTACAAAGCTGAATCGATAACTAGCGATATTCATCTATGTAATTACTCATCCGCATAATACACAAAGAAGAGTCTGACGGCGTCGTTTAAGGGGTGGAATTTACAAGACGATATTCTCAAGGATCTTCGACGTTCCGCTTCCGAGATATTAGATTTATCCATTTGTTTGCCGAAAGTCTCATAAATATAAGCTCCCTTTGACAACGTCTCACGGGTCTTATCCGGCGCTGTGATCTTGCGTGGGTGGCCGACAAGATGAAACCAAGCGCGAGGATAGGCGAAAGAAAAGGAGGGACGACATCGAAGTGAAATCGATCCAGATACAGTTCTTGGTACTTCTTGGGTGCCATCAGTATTCCCAATTAACGGGGTTCCTTTCATCAGGGTTATACAGGGGTGGCGCAGCCAGGGTTACATTTATAAATATGATGATCGTGAAGGGAAGCATTACCATTCGATGAGACGAAGACTTTGCGAAGGTTCGAACGCACAGGGAGACGAGGGAGGGAATTAATAGCGATGGGGGGTGGAAATTTTACGGATCGAAGGAGGAGCAATCTAAAGGGAATAATTGATGTGTGTTCCACGGGCGTGAGATTATCGAACACGTTCATTGGACTTCTGATTAAGACACCTTATATTTGAAAAACGTTACAGTTTTCAATCTTCCCCTAAATGTACCCCTAAATCTTCTCCTGAAGTTCTAAGGCAGTAATTTTCAAATTATTCTTCAAGCATTGTTGGCATTTTTAAAGCATGTCTTGAACCTCTGTTCAAATTAAGAAAGAAATTGCCTGGAATTAAAGATTTCTTATGGTATTAATTGTGAGAGTTTTCAAGATATAAAATTAAATAATATAAAATTTAATTTACTTCTAAATTCGACAGTAAGCTTTGCGATTATGATACATGCGAGAGCAAAAATCATGGAGAATTGTTTGGTGTACCATAATCAGTGTTCATTAGCTGCACGGAAGTTACGGGGTTTCTATGGGGAGATCTTTTCAATAACTCTTGGTGGCTGGTAATTGGTAGCCAGCGATATCTCTCATGGCTCCACTCTTCGTTTTTCCTTGGCATCGACCCCTTCACCAATGTCGTATATAACAATATACCAGGACTGTCTCTAGCCCTGACCACTATAGATAGAGTTAAGTGTCCCCAGCACAAACACGACACCCACATACACACACGTGGTCAAAAGGACAACAGATAGAAAGCTAGGTATCGTTGACGACAGCTACCGGGGATGCTGAAGAAACGGGGTAGAAACGGTTTGTATTGCAGCCACATTGGCTACCGAAAGCTCACCCTCCTTTCGCTATCTGTCTTATGGCCAGCAACTCTCATTTCCACGGTGACAAATAAAAAATAAACTTTATTTCTATATTTAAAATAAAAAATTATGCACACAATAATTTTTATATAATTAATACTGCTATCAAATTTTTCTTATTTAACAGTATAAAATTGTTTCCTGTTTGGTACATCAAATGAGGCAACTAAAAATTTAATTTTTAGATTTGCAATTAAAAATTGTGCACACACTAATTTTTATATAATTAATACTGCTATCAAATTTTTATTATTTAACAATATAAAATTGTTTCCTGTTTGGTACATCAAATGATATTAAAAATTTCATATTTAATTACGTGGCAGATTATGCTAAAGTTGTTGTATTAGTGGTAGTTTTGTGGTGGTTAATACGTTATTAATATTTCAAAAAGGAAGATGAAAGATTGTACTGTCCAAAAGGCACGTGTCTAAGAAATTATGGAAGATCTGAGAACCTCTGTCGAAGAAACAGTGGATTGAACAGGTTATACTATGAACCGGGGTTCAAATGGGCGCACATTGGGTCATAAACGTTTATATTGCGCTCGGTGCGCCAGTAATACCGATATTGGCAAGTTATTGGTCCCTTCCGTGGACATACCGGATCTACGTACTAACCACAAGATAGCCGCATATCAAATAGTATCGTGATTAATCCAGAAAAATGTATAATTGATCAGAGAGAGCGACAAGCTTAATTGGACACGTCAGTTTAGGGGATTTGAAGCGCTAAGAAAAATGATTCCATTATTGGACAAGTGGAAATGTAATCATTTGATAATAATTTTTTACATCGATATAAAATAATGATCACTCTGTATTGATACTTTTAAATTTCTAAGTCAGTCAGTTAGTATTAAAAAAGTATTAATGATAATTATAATTTGCTATCATATTTTATAATTATACACAATCCAATTCATAGCAATAAATGTACGTATTTTATTTTATTTTAATAAATGTACAATATTATAATATTGACGGTTTACAAATAAATGTTTTTAACAATTGGAGACATAAGTGGAATTAATGAATTTGACTTGTTGACTGTTAAAATATAAAACCGCGCAGTTTAAAATCAATCACCACTCACGGTAACTGAGCGCGCCCAACGATCAGTTAATGCGACCCTATACAATTCTCACAAATAATCGATTGCTGATATTCGATGAAAGCATCTTACCCTAACTATAAAAGTAGTATAGTGCATAAAAAAATTCTTCCAGTATGCTACGTAATATTATTACGAAAATAATAACACTACGAAAGAAAAATATAAGTTCTACTGTTCGATATCTTAAACAATCACACGTATCCCTAAAATATGAACATGACAAAAATTGTACAATATAAAGAAACGTAAAATGTTCACAAAAACCACATTAAGAAAACTAA